CGCAAAATCAGCAGCCCAGTAGCATTTTTTAGCCGAACTTTAAATCAAACACAAAGAAACTATTCCGCGACCGAGAGAGAGGCACTTGCAGTTCTGTTAGCAGTGCAAAAGTTCCGAGTCTATTTTGGAAAGGCGCCGATAACAGTATATTCTGATCATGCGGCGGTAACTAGATTGTACTCAGGGAAAAAATTTATCCCCAAGGTTAATAAGATGGGCACTCAAGCTGCAAGAATATAATCTGGTAATCAAGCATACCCCCGGAAAGGAAAATATCGTAGCAGATGCCCTATCACGAATTAAATTAGACGAACAGGGTAATACCGTAAAAGTTGCAATGCTGACAGCGTGTACAATAAATTCCCGAGAAACTGTAATAACCGAACTGGGTAAGGATCCTGAGTTTGGAAGTATTTATGAGTATTTGAAGGATCCTGAAAATTTTAGCCACCAAGATATTGTGGCGATAAGAAATAGGGCGGCCCATTACGAACTAATAGATGGTCTATTATTTTTATACAAAAACTACGAATTCCAACAAACGAATTTCGACCTGTTATCCCAGCTAGTCTTAGATTAAATATCCTGCAGGAGCTCCATGACAGCCCTTTAGCTTCTCATGCTGGTATTCGAAAAACTACTCCAACGCGTACGCGAGGCAGTCTACTTTCCTGAACTGCAAAAGTTAACAAGGGCGTATGTCCAGTCCTGCCCAACATGTCAAGCCGTTAATTATATTAATTTCCGCCCGGCCGGGTTTCTAAATAGTATTAAATCCGAATTTCCAAATGAAATAATCGGCATCGATTTATTGGGCCCTTTCCCAAAAAGTCAGTTAAACAAAAGTCGCTATCTCCTTGTTATAGTTGATCATTTTAGTAAATGGACCGAAATTGTTCCCTTAAAACGAGCCTCCGCGAAATTAGTTACCGATTCTATTTTAAATAAATATATTTTAAAATACGGGGCGCCCCTAAAAGTTATATCGGATAATGGTCCTCAATTTGTAAGTAATATATTTGAAGACATGTGCCAAAAACTGGGCATACGTCATTTAAAAATGGTCCCGTATCGGCCGCAATCAAATATAGCGGAACGGGTCAACAGAAATATAGTGAAAATTATCCGTAGTTATGTTAAAAATTTTCATAAAAGCTGGGATAACTATGTCAATGAATTTGCTTTCGCCCTTAGGACCGCAAAACATGATACAACGGGCAAAACTCCTGCTGAGTTATTTCTAGGCAGAAAGATTATAACACCGTTAGATAAACTATTTTATGTGCAACAAAGAGCCCCAGAATTTAAAATGGGTGATATAGAAAAACTAATAAAAGAAGCAAAAAAGAATACAGAAGTAGCACAAAGAAAACAAAAAAATTGTATTATGACTTGAAAACGACGGGGAGTAACTTATAAAGTAGGGGATGAAGTTACTAAAAATTAAGCATTCACTTTCTTCAGCACCAGAAGATAAAACTGCCAAATTTTTTCCCACGATTTGAAGGACCATATGTTATAGAAAAAATAACTCACGCTGTTGTAGTAGTATTAAAGGCAAGAAATGGTGAAACCTGTTCCGCAAACATTGACCAGATAAAACCATTCTATGATCGTAATAAAATGCAAATCTTTTCAGATCTTTTGCAGGATCCGGTACGGCAGACACCGCAGGTACAAGTTCCAGAGGTGGGAAAACGACAAGTACAAGGGCAAGCCAATGAGAGACAGAAGCAAGTGAAAAGAAAATTGCCCCGCGGAAAAATTGAAGGTACAAAGAAAAAGAAGCCGTTCCACCGTCCAAAAAAACAGAGTTCACGAACACCCCCAGAATGAAGAAGGGAGAAGGACGACGTATGTGGAAAAGACCGGGAGAAAGGACGGCAACTATAACCCGGCTGTGAAACGGAAGATTGACTCATCCGACAGAACTCTCCGCAGCAAAAGTCGCCGAACTGCGGAAGGGCCATCAGCGGCGGAGGAGGAAAAAGTACAAGAAAAATTTGAACGGCCAACAACGAGGTCCAAGCAGGATCACGACAGAAGTTTCCCGGTTCCACCAAGACCAGCTGCCTTCAAACGGCCAAGACCACAAGCAGAGGACAGAAGGAAGATGTTCAAGGGTGGCCGTAGTGGTGAAAAACGGAAGCTTCCAGAGGAAAGCACTGAAGGGCGAGCCCGTACAAGAAGGAGGAGATCAACCAAGCTACGGTCTGCAGCTACCTTTAAAGACTGGGCCCAGAAAAGGATGTCTGAATATTACAAAGATAAGTAAAATTTTATGTTACTTTACAAACTTAAGTTAATCTTTCATTCTTACTGCAAGTGGCAGATTTCAAGAAGTTTTACCTCATGCGAGGTCTACCTTTATCGCCAAAAGGGCGAGAAATGAGTTGTGACCGATTTTCTTATTATGTTTTTCAATTACTCGCGCGTAAAACTAAAGTTGATGTATAATAGCGTTGTATAAAGACTTAAATATTGTAAAAAGTTATTGTATAAATTTTATTTAAAACATTCTAACAAGAAAGAAGTTTTAGTCTGAAAGACTTTTTGAAATGTAGTATAGTATTTCAATGTAGAAAGAATTGGCACTTGCTTTGAAAAGAATAGAAGTTAACAATGTACTACTAATGTATGTTTTCAAATGTGTAAAATTAACGGCATCCTTGATATGTTCTTGTATACATGTGAACTGTTATTTTGAATGTTTAGAAATACCGTGATATGGTAAAAGTGAAAGTAATGTTAAAAAATTTGTTATTCGTGTGACTGTAAAGATTAAATCATGCTGAATATGTGTTAAAGGTTGAATGATGTAGTTAGGCTCTCTGACGCTACACTTTAGAGTTAGCCACTTTCAGAATAGTACCTCAGGGTCTAGAGTTGAAATTAGGGTGTGTTAAGAGGTCTCGTATGTTGAATTTTAACACGTTAGTGTTTTGATTGTAGGAGGAAGTGTTGAACACATAGACAGAAACACATTCGTGTTTGGTGTTTTTACAACACATGTCAGAGAGCACGGGGAGAGATAATTAAAATAGTCATGAATGAAATAAGAATGTTAAGAAAAGTATATTCTATATGTTATTTGCAATGTCATTCTGTAACATTTCATTAAACTAGTTTTCCTTCCAGATCTCTGGAAGGAACCAGAATTGAATAAAGCTCCTGTTTTGATGCAGTACAGATGAAAAAGAAAAAAGATTGTTGTATATTCCGGGAGCTGCTATTGTAACAAATTTCTTTCTTTTAAAATTTTCTAGTTTCTAGCTAAGTTATGTTTGTAAAAGTTTGGCCTCGCGTTAGTTTCTAGAGCTAAAAGTTTTCAACAAGGTCGTTTTAGACCTCAGTTTCAAACTAATTAACTCTGGCGGGAAGTATGTAAGGATCTTAAGTTTTACTAACGTTTATTTTATTTTAAATCTTTACTATCACTTCTTATTTTCTACTTCCGGCCAGAATTATAAGCGTGAAGGAGTTTATGCAAAGTTGTCTGGCGAACGCCAAGTATTTAAGTGTGGCCTTTTTGCCAAGCAGGAGAGAGGAAGCCGTGAGTTCGAAGCAGGCCGCTTACCTTAGAAGTTACGCAGTTGCTACTTTGCCTTCCAGGCCAGAGGTTTTAATCCTCTTGATAAATTAAACGTATTGTAGTGTTCACAGTCTCTGTGCTACATACGCTTCCTGTTATTATAAGGCCAATCTTATTCTAAAGTTAAATTAGAGTTTAGTTTTATTTTGATATCTTTTAAGTTAGACCCCGAGTGGAGGGTCATTGTATTCCGAAGTACGGAAGTCATTGTATATAAAGAAAAAAAAATAAAGGGTTTTGTATACCCTTCGTCTGTATCCTGTCTACTTACTACAATTAGTGAACATAGCTTTAGTAAGCTCTCTGTTCTAGTCAGGTCATTGTATGTTTCCGAAGAAGGTTAGAAGAAACATTGAACCTGATAAACCAAATATTCAAATTGTTTGCAGATATGCTTAGAAATATACTTGATAAGATGACGGCAAAGATTTTATAACTTATAATTCAAATTTTTTTTCGAAAAATTTATAAAAATTACTAAAAAATTCAAATTTTAAAAACCAGAAAATAGCTGAGGTATTTATTTGGATTTAACCGAAATTATGAACTGTGAAAGTAAGAATGAAGTAAGTTTAATAAAAAATGAAATACTAATAAATATAAACCATATTCAATTAACAATGAGGAGTAAAATTTTGAGAGCTAATTAAAAAAAATTACTCGTGTGATTTTTACGAAACTTGACACTTTGATATAATTTGAGTCATAGAATCGAAACATGGAAAAACAGGGTACGTCATCTCAGAAAATGTCCGATTTTTTGTCAAAATACCTAAGTTAAAAAAAAGTGCTATATATAAATGTAATATATATCCTAAGTCGCGCTTTCGAGACATGAAAAATGCTAGTTCAATTTCGTCAATCACCCCAGTAGAACGAGAGATATAGAACTGCCCCCCTTTTTTTTGTGTGTGTGTATGTGTGTGCAAGATGTATTAAATAAGCCGTAAGACCAAACCTTGAAAGTAGTTGAAATAGACATCCCATGACAACTATTTTCGCATTTCGAATGGCTAAATACATGTGTGATCTTTACAAAGCAACACTGCAAAAGGCCATTAAAAACAGTTAAATTAATATTGTAATTTTTTATAATTTTCTCCTGAAATTATTCATATTAAGGATAATAAAAGTGGCAGTGCTCTTTTCGCACGTGTTTCTAATAATTGGTTGATATATACAAAATACCAAATTGCTGAAAACTAAAATCATAGCAGATCAAACTGTTCAAAGAATGATTGCAATAATCTAACAAATAAATTAGCGTAAAAGCAATCCTGCTTCATAAAGAAATTAACTTTCCCTCGGTGGTGATTGTTTGCTTTTGCTCATAAAAGAATATTAAACTTCTGCTATGGAGTTAGAAGAACGTTCTGAAAGAAAAGATAATGTTTCCCTTGATACTCACTAGATGGCAGCAGGAGTTCTTTTTCAACAATGCATATATCCTCAATTATTTCTTCCCCGTTTCCTCCCCTTCATGTAATATCCCTAGGGATAGCAAAATTTAACTAAAAAAGGATGATTTTTTAATCACATTCAAATATTACAGAAAATTAATATAATTTATGGAACAAATATGAAATACTTACCGAGATTTGAAATAAAACCATGATTTTTTTTTTTTTTTTAAATCGCGTCATGCCCATAACTATTCAAAAAACTTAAGTCTCTTTTGGGCGACCCTTAAAATGTAAAACTTTTCAAATTTTTTAATTATATGTTTTTAGTTTATCCTTAGTTTTATTTTAATTAATTGTCACATAATTCCTAAAGATCCCTACTCCTACAGTATTACTGGTAAATTGTGGAGATAATATTTACGAATATTTACTCACATTCAGTATCAGCTCTGCGTAGTCTGTTTCTTACAGACGGTAATGTTAGTGTATTTACAACAAACTAGGAAACAAAAACTTTTGATACTTCAGGTATGCGTATGACGTCATAATTTAAATTCAATTATTTATAACAACTTTTTCTCTATATCAATAACAGAATTAACGTGGCAATAACATAACGTATCCTAACCTGAAACAAAAAAGTTGCCGACAGCAGCTATTTATTTAAAATGATGACATTAATGAAAATTTTTCGTCACGTGGCAATCGCATGCTTTCTTCAACGTTCAATGTATTTAATGCTTGGCAAATAAATTTTTATTAACAAACTTTACGATTTGAGAACAAGTAGTGGCAACACTTTTCGAAATAAAACTTTTTTATCTGCAGCTCGCGAGACTGTTACAACTCTGGGAAATGAGCGTGAAAATGAGCGTTTTCCAAGTTTTTAATATCTCCGCTGATTAAGTCGTACAAAAATGAGAACGGTGGAAATAGCTTCCCAGGAATTTTTGGAATCCGAGGGTGCCTCGCGAGCACAAATTTTAAAAGTATAGATACCAATAGTGATTACAAAATGTTACTCAAAAATACAGACAAAATTGCTTTTGAATTTTTCACTTGGTTACACTGAGGACTTTTATAATACGAAAGAACAATAGTTTAGTTTTGTTTTTATGCGATTATGGCAAAGCCTCGAGGGCCTAAGAGTAGGGATGCCTTCATGGAGGACTTTCTAAGGGAAACTCGCTCAGCCGCTGGTGGGCCAGGAAAGAATAATGACTTATCGCCGAATCAATTAACAATAACTTCTAGTCTTTTATTTATGTCGGGCACAAAAAACCCTAAGTAAAACGAATGTATTAAAAATGTATTAAAATGTATTCGATGTCCTAAAATGATGCCTGAAGAAGGACACTGGTCAATTGGCACTAATTTTGTCAATGAACTGCCTTCTGTACTTTTACTGAATAACTCTTAAGATTCTACTTCAATAGTACTCTTAAATGCAAAATGTGTCTAAAATAGATGTATATTAGAGAATTCAAAGTTATTCAGTAAAAGTACAGAAAGCAGTTCATTGACAAAATTAGTGCCTTTTGGATACACAACTGATCCACAGTCATTTTCATAATCAAATATCATAATACTTTCAATTATTTAGGCATATATAATAGAACAATTTACAATTTTAAATTCTTGGGTTCCAAGCACTTCCTTTTGCTTCTCGTTCCAGTCGAATTTCGGGACATTCGAATAAAAACTGAGGGACGAGATCTTATCGGAAAGCAAAAGAAATGATTCAGCAAATTGCTGCCTCTTTACGTCATTAAGTCTTATCTGTAAATTCCAATCTTTAACAGTGTTGATAATATACCTCAGGTCATAAAGACTTGACAAGAAACAGAAAAGAACCGTTGTTAGGCGTTATCTGTAAATTCTAGTTTCAAACAGTGTTGATGATCTACTTCAGATAGTAGAAAGGTGGCAAAAAAAAAAAAAAAAAAAAAAAAAAAAAGGTTGGTTATCTCAATTAAAATTAAATGTCACTTGTATCATAATCGTATTCATCATCGTATCATTTCTGTGTAATGTAAAGTGTATAACGTACATGTTAACAATCTACAACTAAAGGATTGTTTCTGCAGATATATTAATTTGCCATCTTCAAATTCGAAGATTTGCATTATGTGAATCACGTCTGATTTTTCTAAAAACAATTTTCTAATTTCATTAAAGAATGTCTGTCTTACTGTTCTACTACTGTTCTCATTTTTCTTGAACTCAGAACTGAACTTTCTTGAACTGTCAAACGAAAAAGAATGTTTAGGTTGAGAATTTTATGCTTACTATTACTAATTAAAGACTAGGATAACAAAGAATGAACATAAATAGCTTACGACCACACATTGTTACCACACATACTTACGAAACAGCTATGTAAGAAATCTTACATAGCTCTTAAAATGACACACATAACCAAAAAGCAAAACATGAAACACTTTGTCGCTATCAATAAAAAAAAAAAAATTAACTCTGCAAATTCCAAGTTTTTACATTTCCAAATACCAAAGAGAATATTTTTCAACTTATTCTTCAGATCTGAGATGCAGAGGTGTTTTTTTTTTTTTTTTTTTTTTTTTTTTTAAAGAGGGAGAACCAATCTTTAAAATCATTCAATCTGCAAACGAACTGCCGAAAGCAGAACGCGCTGAAGAATTCTCCATGAGAAACAATTATTCGGACAAAAATGGAAAACTGTTGTCACAATAAACGAATCGTGGGTACATTTAAATGACTGCAATAAAAAGAAATCCATTTATCATCATCAAAGAGAAGAAAAAAAAATCTTGGAACATGGCTCAAAGAATCTAAACAAAGATTTTCAAAGGCATTTATGACTGTTGCTGGTTTTTGTTACAACGAACAAATAAAAATTAAAGAAAGTGCAGAAAACTGTTAAGGTCGACTCCACATATTATCAGGAACATATTTTACATTCAGTTTTTAAATATGAAATACCTTCTCTTCACCCACAATGCCATCAATTGAACTCCATCAAAGCAAGCAGACGCACATCAAACCCCACTGTTAATTTCCTGGAAAAAATGGAACAAGAAAAGTGTATCAAAACTCTACGCTCTTCACTCATATTCCTTTATAAGAGTCGAACGCTTTCTGATCGCGATACCCTGTCAATATAATTCTAGCTGTCAAGCAGAATGCGGCTGCTGGACAAAAAACTTTCCCCCGAATCCGAAGCGATGACAACATGCGAACAAATGTAAGAGTTTCATAAGTGAGAATTTCCACCTATTTGGTTACATAGTTGAAGTCTGCAGAAGCAATGCAGTGAGAGGTCACTAGCGCTGGACGTGGAAGACCTAGGTAATCATTGTTAATACTTTCGGGAACAAAACATCTTAAAATTTATTCCGCTAATCTGGAGAATGAGCCTTTGACATGTGAATGGGGGCTTTTCTTTCCTTAAATAGTCTTAACCTCCGTCAAAGTGTTTGTTTCCCCAAAGAAAGGCGGGCATGAATTCGGAAGTTATAATCGATTTTTTAGGTATATTTAGTTTTAAAATAAAATTTGTCTGCTGAAATTGTGTTTCATTTACATAACAGATGTACTGGAGCCCTTTTGATTAGGGATCCGGCGAGCGCCGGCTAGAATTATGATTTACCACAGAAACTGAGAAATACCGGCGCAATTTCAAATCTGGTCACAACAATAAATATTCATAATCACAGATGGTTATACTAACACCAAAAAGTAAAAAAACTGATGTGTACACTACGTGACTTCCTTGTACGGAATATTAAATTATACGCGTTTTTTCTTGCATTTCATTTAAACTTATTAGATTGAATTAAACCTACTTCGCCGACAGCGCATAAACCACAATAGAATAAATGCATTCTTTAAAATTCACTTTGTTTACCATAGCGACACTCTGGCGCTAGGTTTACTTAACAGTATTATATTTCCTTCATATTATAACTCAGAATGCACAAAATCTATATCATTTAAAGAATTATCTAATCGTTGCCACATGTTCTATTCAAATACTATAATAAAGCTAGAACTATGTATGAAAGAAATTAAGCAAACAAAACAAAAAAAGAAACAGTTTTTCACAGACGATTGAGTATTTCTCATTCAATTAATTCAGTTTTCACTTCGCGACAAGGAAAAAATACATAAAAACTCAAAACATCTGTATTAAAAATTACGAAGTAAATCTTAAACGCTTATTTCCTCGAAAAAATTCCAGAAAGGATTAAGCATGATTTAATTGGCAATAATAAATGAATGCGTTATCTTTGTTGTTGCGAAGCTAAGTTTATGTTGATTGGCAATAAATCCACTACTCCGCTGTTTCAAATGTAAACAAGAGCAATGGCCGCCATCAAATTAGGCTTAGCGGCACTTAAACAATTTTAAAATTGTTGATAATTCTAAAAATATTGCATACAGATTTACTAAAGGCATAAAATCCTTAACCGGAAGATGAAAACAACGTAATTCAATCATTTTTAAAGTAAAAAATGTACAATTTACAAACATACAAGAGTAAAGAAACTGAGATCACTGAGCCGGGTAACAGAGTGGATATATATATAAATATATTTATATACGTTTGGCGCGGCCGATTGAAACCAAAATACGAGGTGCACATCTACATGTTATAGTAGTCTTATATACAAAATTTCAACGTTCTGAGGTTACTCGTTTTTTGAGTTATGCGAGATAAGTACGTACGCACGTACGTACATACGTTCGTACAGACGCCACGAAAAATTCTCTTCAGAATTCATTTTAAAGCAGTTTTTTTAGTTTTTTTGGAGGAAAAGAATCTTTTATTCTGTCCTAACGTACAGATATCACGCAAAAACATCGTTGCATTCGAAAGAGGTCAAAGTGGATATTTTCGTTGAAATATGCTGCCTGAAGCTTTTCGCGATTACAATACTTCCTTTGTACTTCGTACAAGGAAGTGAAAACTTTAGCTTCGCGTAATGTCATCTTAGGAATTTTTAAAGAAAATTTAGTGCTTTATTGTTCCACTATATTTAAAGTTATTCTGGATCAAATTTTCCTTACCTTTGAAGTGTTTTCATTTCCATGAACGCGAAAGATACTTTATCCACAGCATAATTCTCAGTCTCTGAGTCCTTTTACTTTTGATAGTCTTCTGGTGACTTGTACTGTTATCTTTGTACCTTCCTGTAGAACGTTGTACAGGATTATCAAATTTACTTCACTTCTACAGCTTGTATTTTACATCAGCGAAAACGACAATCGTTGTAAAGAAAGACAGCAGTCTTTCCCCTTGTTTCAAGCAGCTCTGAGTTCAAAGCTCCTTTGAGGTCTATGAACTTCACAAAAATTTTCTCCGGTTCGTAGTTAAGCGTATACACTGGCTTATTTTTATTTAGTTTGCACTTCTTCCAGGGAAGAAACAGGTTAATGGACTTTAGTGAGAATCGTCCTGGACAAAACCGCAGAGGTCAAATGCCTCCAAAAACCACAGGAGAGCCCATCCAGACCCCTTTGGAATAATCTTGGCACTGCAGGGTTGTTTAATGTTAGAATCCCTCGAAGAAATCCCGCCTAGAAGCGGGTTTTACGCCAGACGTACTAAACTTCTCAGAAGCGGTTACCTACACCAACGGCAGGAGAATGGGTTAAGGTTAGAGATCTCTAGACGACAAGTTCGTAATAAACACAGTATCAACAAAAAAGAAAAAAATTAGCTTTACCACACGAAATAATAATATTTAGAGAGTCATTAGGTTTTATGCTGAAAGAATTATTTTAGGCGAAATAAATTCACCGAAATCCTATGTGAAAGAGCAAATGTAATTTGGGTTAGACTTCAGCTGCAAAAATGAAAATGGAGAGCAGTCCTATTTTAAAATCGATTAAAATCGAGAAAAATCATTATGCCTGTTAAGAAAAAAAAATTCGGTATCGGCACTAAATAAAATCTGCGAATTTGTTTTGTTAAGAAAAAGAACACAATATCATTCTTTAAAATAATGTGAGAAAAAATTAATTTCAAAAAAAGGAAAAAGAAAAAAAAAAAAAAAAAAAAGAAAATCTGAAAGGTTTCAGATTTTAAATTACGTTCAAAGGATTTTAAATTACGTTATAATGTTTTAACATTTTGGGAGTTACCTTTATTTATTAAATATCGTGTTCTTCGTACTTAAACCATAAAATTCAGTTCAACAGCAAATATAGCAAAATAATTTTAAATTGAGCATATCTTTAGAATTTCCGATACACAGACTCCCGCACTGGAGATAAAAATGTTTTTTCTCTACAACATTGCCATTGCTCGCTTTGAAATCTTTGAGTTTGTTAATCAAAAATTCGTTAAAGTTTTACAAAATATGAAATCGATAATAAAATAAATTCCACGTTCCAAATTTGGGCTTCCAATAGTCATATTCGGGTGGAAAAGTTATTCAAAATTTGATGGCTCTAGGTACCGTCTTTTTATCACAATGCGAGAAACATATACATACAGTTATGCAAATTCTCCATTATTTAATTTGTTTAAATATAATACAGGTATATATTTGGTGGCAACAGTTTGAAAAGTGAACCGACATTTAAAGTTTTTCATTATTTACAATTCGTTAATCGACATGCATGATTTGAATTTAGCAATGTTATTTCGTATTGAATTGAAGAATAAAGAAATCATTCAAAATAAGTTTAATTTTTTAACGTTTTAGGAATGCTTTTTATTCACTGTGTTGCTGATTTGTTTGAAATGGGTTTACAAGATTACGGCAAAGCACACTGACGCTATTTCATTCAATGTTAAAACAATTTCATGAATTAATTTAGAAGTCAGGCAACAAAAATCAGTGTTTTATTTGCAAATTTACACAGAATGGTTTTTACGGAACCATCATCCTCAACTGCCAAAGTACAAATGAACGAGATGAGATATAGCGAAAAGATAAGGTAAATTTCCATTCTTATCTTAATATAAATTTCCATTCATATCTTAAGATGTAGTGAAAAGATAAATTTCTGTTCTTATCATAATATAAATTTCCGTTTTTTATCTTGATACAATGAAAAGATAAATTTCCATTCTTATCTTAAGATATGATGAAAAGATAAGATAAATTTCCGTTCTTAAGATAAGCAAAAAAGATAACATAAGATAAATTTCCCTTCTTAAGATATAGTGAAAAGATAAGATAAATTTTCATTCTTAACTTAAGATATAGTGAAAAGATAAATTTCTCTTCTTATCATAAGATAAATTTCCATTTTGATATTAAAATACAATGAAAGATAAATTTTCATTCTTAACTTAAGATATAGTGAAAAGATAAATTTCTCTTCTTATCATAAGATAAATTTCCATTTTGATATTAAAATACAATGAAAGATAAATTTCCATTCTTATCTTAAGATATAGTTAAAAGATAAATTTCCATTCTTATCTTTTCACTATATCTTGTCTCGTTCATTTGCGCTTTGGCAGCTGAGGATGATGGTTCGGTAAAACCATGGAAACTAGTTCTGTGAAAATTTGCAAATGTAATGCTCATTTTTGTTGTTTGCCTTCTAAATTAATATTTGTTCGGCGTGTTATTTTAACCTAAATTTCCTGAATATGTAGCATGCAGATTTCTTCATTAAAAGACACGATAGTTCCTATTTTTTTGTTCTCTCATGTGGAATTTACAGAGGGTGCGATTTTTTTTTCTTTTTTCACTTGAAAACGACAGCCATAGAACAACTTCAAATTGACTTAAAACTCTGTATTCTGTCCCCTCCCGAGGTATCTAAGAATAGTATACGCCAATAGAGGCGTAACAAACTTTTCTTTTATCTACCACAATAGGAGTGAAAACTAGGAAAAGAAAAAGAAATGGATGTCAAAAGGAACCGCGGCTGTTGACAAAAGGATTGAATAAAATTAAAACAAAAATCCTCGATTTAATATCCTCGATTCCCTCCTCCCTTTTGCGACAAAGTTACTCTTCCAGTTCAATAGACGAAGTGAGGAGCGGGTTAGGGGGTCACGAGAAGGGGTTGATCCATCAGGTGGCTATTTTTAAAGTACTATTTTTTTTTCTTCTGATGAAGGGGGGCACCGGAAACAAGTGGGCGTCGGAACGCGAGGGTTGTGAAAAAAAGGGGCGTTAAAGTATTTGCTTTGCCTCTCCCCACGGTCCTTATAACCCATTACTCCTGGGTCCATAACCCCATCGTTACAGCATGGGGTTGAAAAGAAACTTCGAAAAAAGGGGGTAAGAGGAGTGCTGATAGAGTTAAATTGGGGGTACTGTTACGCGTATAAATATATATACGAAAAATTTTTCTAGGGGTACTCTTTATATGGAGTACTTATTACGCTTCTTTCCGCTTGATGCCGCAGTTAAGGTTTTGACCGTGCAGATAGGGGGCGTATACACATTACAATTTTTTTTACACTTTAATTGAACACTGAATGGATTAACATTTTTTAGCCCAAAGGGCGTCGTTAGCCCTGAAGGGCTAATAATTTCGTTTTGGCACTTTGCGTTGAAAACTTTAAATGTCTGTTTCGTTTTTCAAATTGTTACCACCAAATGTTATCGCCCTGTGTTACATTTAAAGAAATTAAATAATGAAGGATCTGCATAAATGTATGCATGTTTCTCGCATTGTGATGAAACAACGGTACCTACAGCCACCCAATTATGAGTAACGTACGTCTCCACCCGAATATGGGCATCTGTAAGCCCTAATTTGGAATTTGTTTTTATATTTTGTATTTTGTAACACATTAACGAATTTTTGATTAACAAATTCAACGATTTCAAACAGAGCAATAGCAACCCTGTACCGGGGGAAAAAAAAAAAAACTGAAATGTTTCAGATTTTAAATTACGTCCAAAGGGGCGTTTTTTAACATTTTGTGTGTTACCTTTCTTTATTAAATATCATGTTCCTCGCACCTAAACCATAGATCCATGCAACAGCAATATCGCAAAATAGTTTTAAAACGAGCATATCTTTAGAATTTTCCGATACAGAGACTCACGCGCTGGAGATAAAAATGTTTTTTCTGCACACGTTGGCCATTGCTCGCTTTCAAATCCTTGAGTTTGTTAATCAAAAATTCGTCAAAGTTTTAAAAATAGGAAATCGATCATAAAACAATTTCAAATTTCAAATTTGGTTCCACATGCTCAATTCGTTGGAGGATTACGTTATTCAAAATTCGATGACTCTATGTATCGTTGTTTTATCACAATACGAGAAAATATACATTTATGCAGATTTTTTCATTATTTAATTTCTTCAAATATAATGCAGGACTCTAACATTTGTGGCAACAGTTTGAAAAGTGGACCGACATTTATGAGTCCGACGCAAAATGCCAAAACGAAACTAATAGTCCTTCGGGATTCAAATCCCTTTGGACTAAAAAAAAAAGATTTTTGTCTTCAGCGCACGAGACTGAGTATCGGAAATTCTAAAGATATGCTCATTTTAAAAGTATTTTGCAATGTTGCTGTTGAATTGAATTTTATGGTTTAATGCGAAGAACATGATATTTAATAAATAAAGGTAACACACAAATCGTTAAAAAAAATGCCCCTTTGGGCGTAATGTAAAATCTGAGTACTTTCAGATTTTTCTGTTTTTTATTAAATATTGATTTCAGGAAAAACATTAATCACATCTTTACTGAATGCAATTTATCTTAACAAATCGAACACAGAGAAAAGAAAAACATTCTAATACCTTGCGAAAATAAAACATTTGCAGACAGGATAACGAAGGGTTAATTCGATCCAAATCGAATAATCTTCACCTTAGATTTTCAAAGAAACACATATTAACTTCCTTGGAAGTAAAGCTCAATAAAAACAAAATTAAAACAGCGTAGCAAAACTATAGTCTTTAATTTTAATATGAATTTTTTCACCTAAAGGAGCTCATACACCTTAAACCCCTTATGATCTTCGAATATGTGACTATTGCAAGAATTGAGATATTTTATTTATTTTAAAAGCAATTACTTCGAACCTCTTACAGCTGACTACATAATATAGCTGCTTTGGAAACTAGTAACCAGAAAGTTTGTGTTGCCACAAATATTTTTTTTAATTTAATCAGCTTTGTGATAAAATTTTTCGTCATGTTTCCACCTTGCGCGCATATTTTAAAAATGGCTAATGGTACATACTTGAAATTGGATGGAATTCTTTATAGGGGCACTATTTTCTAACTGAACCAAAAATCTGACGAATATTTTAATATTAAAAAATTTTATGCACGAAAACATTACAGATTTTTTTATTAAAATACATTTTATAAACTCTACTCCAAATAAAATAAAAAATTAACACGAAAATCTTAGAATTTTAGGTTCACAGTAGTTTCCAAATATTATAAAAATTTATATATTAAATATGGAATTAAATTATGCAACAGAATGTTTTAAACTGTGAGCGCAAGGTGGAAACATGACGAAAAATGTTGTCACAAAGCGTATTAAATTATAAAAATATTTGTGGCAACACAAACTTTCTGGTTACTATTTCAGAAAGCAGCTATATTATGTAGTCAGCTGTAAAAAGTTGGAAGTAATTGCT